TATATATATATATATATATACATATATATATGTATATGTATATGTGTGTATATTTAACAAACTCTTATTACAAATTGCAAATAAACAGAGTAGCAAAATCATTGTATGCTCGCGATACAAATGCCATTCTAAAAATGAATAACGGTTGGTACTTGGTTTCGTATACATGAAAATCTTCATGACTTTCGTATAATTCGTTCGTCGATTTTTGCATCGTCTTTCGACTACAAGTACCGCCTTACAAAATGCATAGATTTTCGAAAAATCGCACAACATCCAATTCTCCCTAAGATTATATTGTATACTAATGTCAAAGTATTAGTCCACAGTGTGTATGTGTATGTATGTGTATTCAATCGCTCACTTTTCTTCACTGTATTCCTTAACTTATATTTTCTCCTAACATCTGTAATATTTCTTGTTGGATCAGTTTATCGATTGACCCATCTCTTCACCGCTTCCGCCCAATTGGCTTCATCTTCATCTTCTTTCTCACCGTCCGCCTCTTCTCTCTCGCCTCTCTCCTGCTCCTGTTCGCTGGACAACGTAGCCGATGGTGTTTGCGGTATGCTGTTACGAGATCTCAATTCTGCCAAAAAGTCATTCTCTTGCTGATAACGTCGTTGCAGTTCCTCTCGCCAGGAATTTCCACCGCCGCTACTATCATCGCCATCCTCGCCAGCTTCAAAGTCTATAAGTAGACGCGACTAGTTTCAAAATTCAGTCGCACAAAAATACTGAGATTATTATATTTGTTACTTTCAGCTCAAACGATAAAAGATAAAGTAGCATATCTATATTCGCTGAATTTAATTCCATTTCTCTTTCTCATTGTCTTCCCAAGTAGATCTCTCAACTTCGAAGGTTTATGTAGTATATTATCTGGTATTTGAACATATATAGACTTATAACTATAGACGAATAAGAATAATCATTTATGAAGATATACGACAAAAATCCGTAGGATAACTTATCTTAATATTATCGTCAGAAGTATACATCGTAGTTGTGTGCGTGATGCTTATGAAGATGAAAGAAATGTAGAGATATATTATTAAATATGATACGAGTATATATATATATATATATTGTATGTACAAATATGTACAGTTTGATTTTTGCAAAATTAATGTTGAAAGTACCAAAGAAAAAATTAAACCGAAATATTAATATGAAACTCGTAGATTAGCGCTTGAAAAATTTAAGGATTGCTTCAATTAGAAGAGCAACATTGCGAAGATCTAAAGTGCAAACGGAAGTAAAATTAATGAAAGTCGATGTAGAAATACTTACCTAACGGTTTTCTGATGTTCATTAGTCCCGAGTTGTGAGAATGGTCCTCCTGGTCTGAGTCTGCAAGCCACCAGGACACATTCACGGGGGGTGCATCACACACATTCCACAACACGTCTAAAGTGTCATTTGTATATTGTATATAGTATAATGGAATGTCTATTCGTCGCGATCAAATTCAATTAAGAAGGTATACATACAGTTTGTATAATAAGAGCGTGATATAATTAAAAAATTGCTTTTTATAATAAAATGAAAAAAATTACATATATATTATTTAATTAATTACGTTTTTATAATATTTTAAGCTATTTAGTCGTTGTTGATAATTGGAATCTCCTGCATACTTTTTACTTGACACATTATATTCTCAAGGTAAAGATCTACATATCAAATGAACTTATCCAATTAATTGTTTCATCGTTTATATCTTTTTTCACGAAGCTTTAATTTTATTTTCACACGTTATTTTCTCAATCGAATTCATTTTGGCCACTTTCATTTAATATTTCGATGTTATTTTCTTCTTTCCATCAGATGCAAAAACGACTTCGATGTTTCGATCATCCAAAATATCCAAGGAGATAAAGTGTTAAATCCTTGTTTTGAAGCAGTCCTATTTTTACTAGCTATAATAATTCGTTGGAGAAGTCTATTAATTAGAACATGGGACTAAACTGAGTCGATAGATTTTTTTTTTAATTATTTGCACGTAAAGGAATACAAATAAAGAAATTCAAATGCTTTCATCAAGAATATCAATATTTTTTTCCTTCAATCTCGAAGGTTGATAGAAATTATGTCTATTCATCCTTTTTCGTATGTTCCAATAGATCATAATTGACAGTTTTTGTTTCTTCAAACTGCTTGAATCACTTACTTATATTTTGACTTATTATGTATTTCGTAGTTGATTCTCGTGATATTTATAGTCCATTTAGATTCCAAGGATTTCACTTAATTATTCGACTTTCTGATGTAATGAACAGTCGATCAGGCTCTTGTTAAACAGACTGTATATGTCCTTATCCATATAGAAATATTTTTTTATAGTTTCTATTATCGTCTCTACTTTTAATTATCTTTTTATAGTGTACAGCTTTCTTAAACTTAGGTAATTTTGAATTTCTAATTTTTTGTTTTACACTTATATCAAATTATGAGTTCATTAGTTTAATAAATAATCCGAATCTCGAACTTTTCTTAACATTAATGTGTATTTGGAATTTCTTGGAATTGCGAATTAGATTGTTGTTGTCATCTGTGATCTTGCATGTAATGTAGTCCGTGTGCTATTCCACTAGGCTAATATTAACTAACTCTATTCTAGAAAGAAAATAAATGAAATCGTAGAAACGGCAACAGGCAAATATACAGACTATTTTCCAACCGTTCAGACTAATTTTAGCATTTACACTCACTGACAGAAATAATGAGGAAGGTATGCATACGGTTATTTGGAGACGACAATTTGTGGCCTTCACTTATATAAACTTTTCTCATTACTTTGTTCAGTAAATGTTAAGTTGTCGAACGTTTTAGAAATAAACTGTATAAAGAAAATATACATAGTATCCCAAGGTTACTGCACTTTTTCTTGATCATAAGATATTGAAATATAAAATGAAATTTACAATCGTTAAAAACTTTTTAAAAAAATAATATTTTAAATATGATTAAAATTGAAGTTTAAATGTGCAAGTAAATGACGAAATTCTCTATTAATAGTTTTTAATCAAATTTAAGTAAGAAAAAATATTTTGTATCTCATTAAAATGACGTAACTGCTGGAAGAAAGTGTAATAATTTTTAATAAGGAATCGTATGTATATTTCGATATTTATATGTTCTGGCTTGAAAGAGCTATATTTTCGTATATAATCATTATATTATTAAAAATTTGCATAAAAATTATATATAATGTAAAATATTGTGATATTAGAATCACTTATCTCAATATTTTATTTGATTGGATTGATAGGATTCACATCAATCCAATCATTATTTACTTTCCTGCAACGAATATATTATTGCACTTACGCGATTTTCCAGATATAAACGTATATACATAAAGATGCATTCAAGTTCAATTCAAGTATATCCAATGAAATATATCTCATGTATAGATAGCATTTGTATAAATCATTTTACAAATCGACTATGAATATCAAGACTAAAAACAGATGAAGAGTCGCATCTTTTTCATGCTATATGATCCTTTGATAATATGAGAATTCGAATATAAATAAATGCGACGTGGCATGCCTGTACATTCAACTCAAATGCGATGATTGAAAATATTTCAGAGATAAATGTTAGTACACAGTACTATATACGTATGATACATATACGTATGATGTGCGAGAAATTAACATACCATTTAGAAAAATTGAAAATATATCTGTTTTATTATTTTATACGTTTAGAATGAAGATGAAGAAGAAATTTCTCATAAAATGGCATGAAACACGCAACTAATTAATATATATACATCTGTGTATATAGTGTAGTGATAGTGAGAATAATGGTACATGTAGCAGGAGCAAAAATAGTTGCAATAGTAATGAAACAGTGTAATATTAATAAACATGATTTTGTTATAAAATGCTACGATAATATAGTAAATGCAGATCAGTTTATCTATTGCTCACCTCGCCTTCGAGACAATCAACAATTTGACATATTTATGGCACCACTGATAATAAAATCGTAATCCGTATTACTAACATGCCATCAGCTAAAAAACACGGCGATAGAGATGCTAACATACTTCGTAGCTAAAAGCTTGCAATATCAAATTGATCTGTACAACTCACGACGAGGCGCTATATTGCCTTTTAAAAATTACCTTCAATTCTGTTTGTGTGATAGTAATACCTATATTCTGCGAAATTCATGTACCAACTATGTATTGAGTATAACTATATCACTATATCACGAAAAATATGCTCAGCGGTATCGTGTAATTATACTATTTAAAACTATAAGCAGAATTGGACGTAGCTTTGTCAAGCGAATTTTCGTTAGCATTATATTTGATAATAATTTTAGAAATTCTAAAATATCTTATGTATTATTCAATTATAACATGTATATATTTTTTCATTCCAATTATTTTTCTAACACATTCAAATATATTCTCAATTGAAGAATATTTTTTAAAGTCAATTTCTGCTTTTTCAATGCATCCACGTCCAATTTATCAATTGTTATTATTGATACTAATTGATTTTATAGCGCATTATTATTCAACATACCTGAATTTAATTCCCTCACAAGCGTTGACATGGCATTAGTAACGCTGTCGGCAGCTACCAGTAAGTCGTTTCTTAAGGATCGGCCCAAACTATTATTGGCACTGCTGGAACCGCTCCCTGGTAAGCTGTTTGTCCTGAACGCAGACCTGACATCGAAAATCTCTATTTTCTTGGCGCGAAGCAATTTCCAAATAAAAGTTGTTTAAACAAAAATTGCAGCATGCAATTTTTATTGCACAAGCATTATTCAATTTGCTTAACGTAATTTTTACACATACAGTTCGCTATAGTTACTCGCGACCAAGGCATATAAGCGTCTACAAAGTTTTAAATTAAAATTAGCAACTCATCGATTATAACAATATACACATGCACGATTTCAGAAAGCTACGATATTTATTGGTATCTAATATACTGTAATCTAACAAAAATATATCAATATGGCAAAGTTGTGAACGCATCGCAAATGCTTCGTTTCCGATCTATTAAGGTATTTGCCGCGTTTGACTGGTACAATACTTGCAGGACGATAATATTTACATATCGCAGCGCTTGCATAATAAATACGAAATAACAATGTTTTAAAGGTGGATGGTGTTTTTGCACACAAGCTTAGAGCAGAAAAAAAGGATCGGATGGGTAACTTATACGCGTCAATTTTACATCCAACGCATCAATACTTTCCTTACAGGATAATTGCTTTTGTACTGTACATAAAAATGATACATTTAAGATGACTAATAATGATAGCAAACTAAAAGAGGATATTCATATATAAGAAACTTACATCTCGAACCTAATAAAACTTAAAAGAAATTATTCAAACAGGGTTAAAAGCGACATGACATGGGATACAAATATATCTACTATATATATTTATAAGATATAAATCTGACGATTTAACATTTTATGAGGTACTTTCACTTATTTCGCGCTAGTACCACATTGTTCTTAATACTAGCTTAATTAGAAATCGCTCATATTCGCATGCAGGAGAATTTAGGACTTCTTTAGCTAATTGTGAAGTAATCCGTATACTGTGCAATAATATCTCTATGCCAATTGCTACAATAATGTTGACAGGAAAAATTAATTTTTTAATGAACACATGATCGAGGTACAGGTATTTTGTCTAATAAGTGATGAACCTGCTTTTTGAGCGTTTTTCAAAGTTGATTTACAATACAAGTCAATTATTCAATCAATATTAATTAGTAATTTGATTAAATTCAATGTGACGTGTGACATAAAATTACTATTTTTAATTTTTTGATATTTTATTGCGAATATTGATTGATATATAATTAATGTTTATTTAATTGCAATCTAAATATATACCTATATTATTAGAATGTATTTTATGTACATGGAATGTACATAGATTTCTAAAGTTCGCTTGAAATATCTAAGTGAACAAATTGCTCTATGTAATATATTATTCTATATATATTATATAAATTACGTGTACAATTATGTATCACGCATATTTTGTTTATAATTTTCTGTCTTTGCTTCGCTCTTTTTGCGCTGTAGAAGGTCCTTTCGTTTATATATTCTCTCTTTGTGCATGCTTGCCTACCTTACATCGCCGCCAACACACGACAAGCTATCTGGAATGGGGTTCTGTATCGTGCCGAGCATAGCGTTGCCTTGCACGTTAGCCACTGTTGTTGTCGGTATGGGATTTTGATAGCTCTGAGACATTTGTTGCGACATTTGCTGCTGCTGTATTTGCTGATGTTGCTGCTGTTGCTGTTGCTGCTGTTGTTGTTGAGGTGTAGACAAAGGCCCGCCCGGAGTCGGTGGTGCTGATCTGCTGCTCGGTATTGCACCAGGTGGCAAAGGCGGTGACTTCGTACTTCGTGGCGAACTGTTTGGTGTTGATCGTGGAGATGCCTGATGATTCTATCGAGGTAGATAACATTGTGTTACTAATTACGTTCTTGTTTACGCGAAACTATAGCATCCCTCTTTTTTAAACTTCCACACTTCATCAGTTCACCTTCTAGTTTCATCTTTAAAGACAGAGAATTGGAACCCATTTAACTTTTACCGTTTAAAGAAGCAGTTTTGTAAAATGTTCGTGAAAGTACCTTTAGCATTTTCATTAAACCTTCCAGCTGCACCATTAATTGTCTTCTGGAATCTTGCAAGGTCGCTAGATGCGTTTCTAGTTCGTCCTTTCGCTGCCTCAAAGCTCGCAATTCTGACATTAGCGCCGGATTTTCTAAACCCGCGGCTTCTATCTCTTGTTGCCTTCTGTAGCGAGAATAAACAATTTCTTGAGAAATTGTTAAATACGATTTAGCACAAGGAAGTGGAATGTCACACATATTTCAATTATTAAAATATAATAATATTCCACTTCCAATCATTTACTTTATAAGCGTTGTGATGTGTGATTAATGTAGTATATGAATGTATTAATATATGAATTCAATCCAATGAATATATAAGTCAATTTGAAAGAGATCAAGAATACTCGATGTTAATGAATTCATTTAAACGTGAATTTTACTGTTACGTTCATTTCTATCAAAGAGATTAGTAGATTATCTTCAATTTTGGTTTATACTTTATCTTTTATCTTCTAGTTCTAAAAATCAGAAAAAGATAAAAATTAAATTAAACCGAGATCAAAGTTAATCTATATTGATAGAAATGGATATTAATGGTAATATATAAATATGTATCGTTTCTCTCTGTTCCGTTGTGCAGGCTATGCAACCAAGGTAACACAAAGCGAAACAGAACGTTCTGAACATGCGTGACCCTAGGATGGGTTAACAGGATGAAATCGAGGTTTAGGTTTGATATAAAGGAATATAAACGACACAGGTATACCTTAACCTTGCTATCTCGCGCATTATCTCCTTGTTCTTCGCTTCCAATTGCGATATAAGTTCACGTTGCGCCCGCGACGCATCTAACGATGCCAGGTTTACGTCCGACGGTGCACGACCCTATCATCAGAAATATTGTCGCGAATGAAACGATCCGCAATGTAAATTTTTATTGATAATCTAAACAATGTTTACTTACTGCTTGATCTGCCTGGGACATTCTGGATGCGGTACGAGGCTGTTAAAACGAGGCAGTTATAAAATTAATATTAGTGCCAGAGAATGGCCACGATAATAGAAAACAGAACAATTTAATTGGCTTTCACGGCTTTTGCAAATTTAACGGATTAAGATAGTAGCAAGAGCATTCGCGCTTTTAACATTAAGCAAATTATAACGCGTGATGTAAATAGTAAGCGTAAAATGTATGTAAATTTTAATGGACTTACCACAGTCCTAGCTTCTTGTGCCAACCTTTGTGCATATCGTGCTATTAATTTATGTTCATCGTCCAGTCTTGAACTGTCCATACTGGACGATATACAAAAGGAATAAGTAAAGCATGGCGTCTGCGCGCAAATGGCAAAGGCAAATAAATTGTGCATAAATTAGAATTTCGTTCGAGCTTACCTTCTCAGAGTCGAACGACTATCCACCGATCCTGAATCAAAGGGAGCCATAAACCCTGGATCTGGAAAACCGTTGTGAGATGGTAAAGGTGACGGTGGGCTGGAACGTAGTGAATTTATTTAGATTATAAAATAATTCTGAGATATAATGAGCGATTGTAATGTTATACGAAATGATAAAGATACTAACACTATGTGCGACAGATCTAGCGTTTTCTCAGGTTGTTCCGGGAATCGTGGTAGACTGTTCTTTCCCTTCTCAGGAACACATCTGAAACTCTTTCGCAGAGAGTGACCAATCTGTTTGCTTGGTGATTTCTATCAACAAAAATTCATCATTGAAAATTGAATAATGCAAGAAATGTTTCGAAACATATAAATAACGGAAATACGTACAAAGCTGCTATACTCCCTCGTTTCATGATCATTATTGTGCGTTCCTGAAACTTTACCACGCCAGAAACAGTCTTGACATAACTGATACGAATGGCACTTTTGACATCTGTAGCGGAACCCAGTGAAGTTTTCTTTGTGACAAGCGTCGCACATAATAGGATGAGCAACTGCAAACAAGAAGAATGACGCAAAATCTCATCCACCGATCGATTTTATTGGTCGCTAATTTCTCGCGCAATTACCTGTTTCTACGGTCGCCATTCTGTGATACAACGGCAACCAAATTAAGCAGTGTGGTCCAGGATCTGACATAAGCGTATCCAAGAAGTCGTTTACGGTGACTTTAGAGTTCTGCCATATATAAAGCATTATCTGTTTAGTCTAGCAATGTATTAGAGCAGCTGCACATATACGTATAATGCGTACCGCAGGAAAAATAGAGTTAGCAAGACCATCGGAATATCCAAATGACGGGGATTCGTAGACTGCCGCGGTTAAAGCTAGAACTTCTTTCAGATAATCGGCGAACCTCCAGTGTATCATATGTCCATTGCTATCAGATATTTGTGAGTATATATCTATTTATAGAATAAACGTCGTTAATGAACTTAGCTTTATGGATCAACAAATGAATTGTCCTTCACCAATTTTAATGATTTGGATATTGTAGAGCATCAAAAAATATTATTTATTTTTTTATTTGTTTATTATTTGTATATTCAAGGTTTAGAAGTTGAAACAATTCAAAAGTAACGGATTTTTTTCATTTTCAATGAATATTTTCAAAAGAGATAAAAAAAATGTTTTTATATAAAAGTTTTATAGTATTTTATATTCTCAATAATGATGTAGTTTTTTACGTTTTTCGAAAATGGTAAATTTTTTAATTCACTCTCACTCACAAGGAATTGTTTCGATCCCTAAACCTTCACATAAACAGATAATGAAAATATGGATGTTTAATATTTTTTTATGCTCTACAACAAAGCTGAAAATCAATGAGAGACAGTTCTAACAATTCCTTTGTAAGAGAATGAAGAAACTACTTACATCGAAATTTATCCATGAGCTTTCCCGCGCATAATGTTGCCAGGGCTACCTTCACTGAGAACACGGATATTTTATTGTTCTCTCTGTAAGAAAAATCACACAGTTTAATTGGGTGATAATCGTATCAAATAAAAACCTACATATATAAATATATAATCATCTATTTTTTTAATCATGTACTTTCAAGTGATTTATTATGTGCGTTTTACGGCGTCACGTACCCACGTAATAAATCACTATAGAAGCAATATTGGAAATAAATGATTAAAAAAGCAGATAGATTAATATTTTTCGACCTCCCCTGATTTATTGTCATTAGAGTTCGAGCGAAACTTTTTGCTGAAACATCCGGCTATATGTCAATTTCAACCGAAACCGAAACCAAAATTAAAAAATAAGCATCCTATAAAGGTCATAAATATGCCCATATATTTATTGCTCATATATATACTTTTTCTTCTTAAATATCATAATTTATTAAAACAATAATTAAATTTTGACCGAAAACGAAAACTGAAATTTCGGTTTTATCAATTTTGGAACAAAGAATGTAAGTACTTCTTCTTCATAAATTTAATTTAACCATAATTTAATTATTGAAATAATTAATTTTCAGTCATAATTAAGTTTCAGTCAGGTTCTAATTATCACTATATCTGTGTCACAAACATTATTATCAATAGCTGAAAATAGAAACTGAAAAATGTTAAAATTCAGAAAAGTCTCTGTGCATAATCATTTAAAAAACGACATTATTTATCTTATCAAACGTACCCGCTGGTATAAGCAGCCAGCAGCCAGTTCATCAACAATGCCGTAGTAGCGTCAACTTTGGACTGCTGCGATACTGGTACTCTCTTGTTCAGCGCATGAAACAGGGAAGACAGTAGTGTTTCGAGTCTGGATACTCCTAAGGTGCTCGATGGTTCCAGCGTGTTCAGACCGTTCTCTCGAAATGCTTCAATCACGTTCCATATATCAACGTTGTGTACTGCATAAAATCATACATGCGTTATTAAAAAGGTATATACCTTGACATTTACCTTCATACAACATTAATTAACGCAAGCCTGAGCGCCACGTTCTCTTTAAATTCCGATGCTGACATCAAAATACTGTTAATTATCATTAGCGTAGTCATATAAATGTGAGAAAATTAGCATTTCTTAGTTAATCTCCTAGTCGTGACTTAAAGATCTTTGCCCTATATTAATCATCATAAAGGCATGATAGAAGTAGAGATTATGAGTATTTTAACAAGGTCACTGATCTAGTTTTTATAAATTGTTTAGTTTAATAACCAGAGCATATTTATAATTTCTATTTTTTTATAATTATTATTAATTTCTATATTAATTAAACTAATATAATAAAATTATTGTTGTAATAATTAATTTTTGTATTAATACTACATTAATATAGTAATAATCAGTATTATTCAATTTTTTTTATTTTTTCATTTGGATAGTGTGTTTTACTTCTAAACAATCTGTACACAAGTAATGTTAAAATGAGCATACTCACGATGCACTTTCTTCTGTATAAATCTCAGCTTGCAGGCGGTGCGGTACGATGCAAATCGTATGGTGTCAAAATTCTGCTGTCGCATCTCCTGTAGAAGCTGCAGACGGCTCGTCTCGCCGCTGCTTCCGTTTCCCGATCCACCCGCACCTTCCTCTGCCATTTTCACTGCGAAAAACGAACGGATGATGCGTCTCCTCACTGAATCTTCTTGCGCGCTTCTTCGCGATCGCTTATAGTTGTTTCATAATGAGCGGTACGATTCTGCGCTTAAGCCTGACATACACTGCGTTGTTTCTTTTTTTTTTTCTTATTATAGCGGTAAATTTATGCACGGCATAAAAGATCGGTGAGTACGCGTAAAGCGAAGGTCGTTGAAGTGATTAATCGTAGATTCATTAGATGACAAAGAATTACCTCGTGCACTATATTAACGAATATTCCGCAGCAACTATATGCGTTACGACAGCGCAGCGTCACAACACGAATTTTATTATATTTCAAATAAATAGCGCATGAGATATCACTGTGCATTTCGTACCAAAAATAGTGACAGCTTCTGTTAAAATGAATTTTTTAGTAATGCCATAAGAGTATCAACAGAATAATTTATTAAGGCTGCGACATCATTTAACATTGCTTCATTATATTCTTTATTAGTTCTCTCTAGTTCGAAGTAATACATTCCGTCGCGAATTGATAGAACACTTAGTATAACGCATGTAGATACGCAATTGGCGGAGCTGTTCTTAATTCATAGCTCATATAAGATGCGTCACGCTGCGTCGTGATGAGGAGGACGAGATTGTTCATCATAGGCCTAATGACTGGAAAGAGCTAATTAGAAATGATTAGAGAGTACACGCTATGTATTTGTCTTAGGGGAATACCATGTTACTAACATACAAGCGTTTTCTGCATATGAATCTACAATTGCGTAAAAATATTTTTAATTAATAATTTGAATTGATAATCAACATTATATAATTTAAGTGATCATTTAAATTATTTCTTCGCAAATTATTTCTTACTTCGAATGTTCAGATAATCTGATCTTTTGTTTCTTTTTTTTTTGATATTTAAAAATTGAAATATTTTTGAAAGAAAGGTAAGACGGCTAATTACATACACAATTATTTACACTATCTTGATAATATTTATTATTAAGTTGATTAAATTAAATTGAAAATGAAGTATTTGAATTTTGCTCGTTCATGAGAGATAATTTGAACGGTGAAAGGTTAATATTAGCTCTCATAACAAATTTTTCATTTTAGAGGATATACAGACTAATATTTTCGGAAAAAGAATTAATTCAAGGCTATTCAACCGTGATGATATAATCCGTTTTACGTAAACCATTGACCTGGTTAGGAAACGCCAATATCCCGAGATGCAATTGATTTAAAACCGATCGTTCGTTTGCTCGAGGATTATTTTTTTTTTTTCTTTGGTGAACAAACTTCGGTGCTTCTCACGTTATTTTCATTGCGTTCAAATCAATGTGCCAAATTTTGCGATGTAATAATTTATTTGTGTCGCAATCGTAATTGAGAGATAATTTAAGACGTTAATTTTAGGACACAAATTTGTTATGCATAAAATTCATTTTTAATTTATGTATGATTCATGTCAGGATTCAAGATAGAATTCAATTAATAATTTCATGGGTCATGTAATATGACAAATACTTAAAGAATCAGAATATACATGCATATGAAATATTTAAATACATGTCAGAATAAATGATTCATAAAATTTAATAAGAAATAATTTCTTTCCCTTAATCTCGGTGTGAAAAAATTTTCCAAATATCTTGGATATTATAATATTTATAAAAATAATAATGCATTATTAAAATTTGTTTTTCAAGGAATCTGGAAAAACAAATGTTTATCTATTTTTCTTTTCGGAGTGTAAATAGAATGCTATCTTAAAATTGATACAAACCATATTTTTTAAAACCTTTGGAGTGGATCTTTAAAGAATAAAAATTGAATTAGTCTTAAAAAAGAATGATTCAATTTTCAATCCTTAAGAGTGAGATTTCACTCTTTTAAATAAGATTCACTTTAAAAGTTTTAAATAAGTTAAATTTAATAAGAAATAATTCCTTTCCCTTAATCTCGATGTGAAAAAATTTTCCAAACATCTTGGATATTATTTATAAAAATAATAATGCATTATTAAAATGTTTGTTTTTCAAGGGATCTGAAAAAACAAATGTTTATCTATTTTTCTTTTCGGAGTAATGTCGAGCATCGCATCATTTAGTTTCAACAAATAAATTGAGATAGCAAACCGGAATAGACGGATTCAAGAAGCAATGAGAGAATAATCGGCTGATAGCTTCGGCGAAATGAGGGAACTAAACGCGAATGCCTAAGTTTGAATCAATACGATAAGTGGGCCAGGTGGGGGGGAACGTAAGATCGGCCGAAGAAACGAGGGAACGACCGGGAAAGGAACGCCGGGCGGTCGCGGGCGCGTTTGAAGGAACGCGCGAAACGGAGCAACCGGGAGGCGCGGCCAACTTCAGCGCGTTGAGAAAATCTCTTCAGTACGAGCGAAGATTAGAGCTGCGCCGTTGAAACGATGAGAATCAAAAACGACGCAAACATGTTGGCTTCTACGGATGGTACGTGATGCGCTTTTATACATTTTCATATGATTCACGTTCATCACGTACGATCGTCTAGCTTCTTATCGAGCTTCAAAGAACGATATTGCTTATACTACGAAAGGTTTACATTCCTGCTACATTTTTTCTCTCTTTCTGTAAATCTCTAACATATATATATATATACATATATATATACATACACGATTTCGAATTGAACTTTATAGTTTGTCTAGACATAATCAATTATTTTTTACTTGATTTATTTTATTTATTATATTACTGGAAAATATACATATAACATAACGCGCGGCAATAAGCGAAAGCAACAAGCTCCGATACGTTTGAGCGGGGAATATTGTAAACTACGCGCTTGCGCGCGGCCTGGAAGAGACCTCCTCCGAGATTTTCTTCGGGACGATTTTTGAGCGATTAAACTCCGATTAATCTTAATTAATTTGATCGACAATAGCTCGAAGCGACATTTTCAACCATGTTAATTGTTGTCCCTCTGATCTTTTATATCCAACGTGCAATTAACAAAAATTATAATTCTACCGTCACAAAATATTAGAACAAAATATTATTACTGATTAAGTTAAATTGCTGATTAGTAATAATAATAATTTTATTGAATAAAATTATTAGAAAGAAAATAAAAATAATATGTAAAAAAAGAAAAGAAACAAAACACAGTGCAATTAATTGAGAGGAAGATTGTCCTTTATTGAATATAAAGTTATTATATTATTAAGCATGCAAATAAACAAATATGCTGAATAAATTAATAGAAATTTGATTGCCTCTAAAATAGCAGAATGATCCTCTTTTGATTAATTGCGCTGTGTTTTGTTTCTTTTATATTTTCTTTGTATTTAATTGCTGCTTTTATTTCTTTTTTTATACGTTTTTAAAAAGATTTGTCCTAGAACGTTAATAAATGCTTTATGTATCTATATCTTAGAGTATAAAAATATTTTTTAATTAACGCAAGCGCGTGGTTTGCGTTAATTAAAATTCAGCACAGAATCAATGACACACGAGACGTTATTAACAAATACCATGATATTCTCCCGTTTCGAAGCGTTTCTCGCTTCGTCGCGTCCGGCGTCAACAGTGACAATCTATTTCTTTTTAATTGTATTTTATATTCTATAGAATATAGTCGATTAGATACGCGCTTTATTTCCCCGATCAATCTCAAAGACGGATAGCACGTTAATAAATGATGTCACCGCAGTTACCTATCAATAATTCAGCACCTATCAGTATCAACTGTATCAAGCTGTCACTTAACGCGGTCTCGTTTCGAATTCACGATCGAGAGCGTACGGATTTGCTGCAGGAGCTCGAAATAAACGACAAAATATTGACGTTTTATTTCGAACGCAGAATTTGTTTTGGCACTTAATCGGATTATATTATAGTTAACAATAGAGATCTTATAACAGGCCACGAACGATTTGTTAAAATTCTATGAGAAAGATATGCTCGTATTTATAATCAGATATTTAAGCAAGTTTATCTTTAGATGCTCTGCAGTCAATAAAATAATTCTTAGAGCATCTGAAGATAAATTTAAAGAAGTCTTAAATACATATAAAGCCTGACTATGAACATATAAGGCAATAATTTTTTTCCTATATACATTATCTTATTTTAACTTATACTGTTTCACTCTATAACTTTAAAACAATTTTATAGAAATTGAAGCTCAAGAGATAAATCTATAACTTTAATTAAGATATAGAGTGAGATGGTATAAGTAGAGTGAGATATATAAATATAAGAAGAAATTATATATACCTTTCTCATAGAATTTTAACAAATTTCGTTGGTGGTCAGATTCTGATATAGGGACTCTAATCAAAAACAATTAGGTATCAATATTTGAAATAATTGATATTCGGAACATTAAGTAGAATCTGTCTCCAGTAGATGATATAATTTTAATCATCATGAAGTCAATCTTACCAATTTATAAAACACAAGGTATAATCTTATCAATTTATAAAATATTTTAATATTCCATTATCATTTATTATAACAATCAAATTAAGTAATTAATCATCTCCAATCCTAGATCGGATTATGAATTAAATCGTTTCATTTTATGCTTTTTTCTCGTATTCGAAAAGAAGTACCTAAAAAAAATTTGTTAGGTATAAATTTAAGAGGAATAATAACGACAGATTAGAGAGAGAGAGAGAGAGAGAGAGAGAGAGAGAGAGAGAGAAAATGAAAAGAACGTTTCTGAGGACAGCTTCTGCAGGCACCTAACCTGTTCTACCGGTCGGTTTACCTATCTATCTACCTGCCTGTCTGCCGACTTACCTGAGGCGCTCTCTGCGCGCGTATCTTCGGCGAGAAAAAAAGGATACCGACGGGGGCGTGGAGTCGTCGACGCCGTGCCCGTGGAAGGCCTCTCTCGCCTCTGCTCTTATCGCCTCGTCATTAAATCGCGGAAAATAGGCCAGAAGCTCGGGTGAAACGGCGGTCGTCGATGTCCAAGAGTGGCTGTCCTCGCCGGACGACCATTCACGGGAGCGTTTTTAACAAAACGCGTGAACGTCCGTCTCGCTTCGCGACGGTCGATATACGCTCGTACACGCGAGGAAGAACCGCGGTGATCGTCGAGTGTGCGAGCTATGGATCACGGTAATATATACGGGACGGGACGCGGATTTTGCCCGGAGGCCGGGACGTCACGGTAAACAAGCCCACCACACAAATCCCGATCCGACGCACGTCGCAGCCATCACTGACCGTCGCTGATCTTCTCCGCCGGTGGCGCCTGATCGCCGACCTGAACGGTTGAATGGGAGAGAACGGGGAAATCGGACCGCGGCGACGCGCGCGATGGATTCGAAATTAATCCGGGCGATCATCCATGGACGTCGCGTTGACTTTGACTGCTTTTAGTATTTCATTATTCAATGGGAATACTAAAAATCTAGTTCACAATTTCATTTTTGTTGTTCACAGAATGTTAAACAAGAATAAAAAAAATACTCGGAGGCACTCGGTATTTTTGAATGCGTCCTTGTATATATATATATATATATATTCGTTGCAAAGTACTGAAAATGTGTAGTATACATAACGCGCATTAAAAATCTTTCAGCAAAGTTTTCAGTATTGGCAGTCTATTTCAGAACGCGGCCTTTAATAAGTAACAAACATAGAACGACTACACTTCGACTTGTGTTACCAAATGAAAATCATCAAATCACCCACTATTTCTATTCTATATATGTGGAATAAATGTAGATTAATTTTAGTTCAACTTATTCTTCATCTTTTTTTAATTTTTGGACCCAGTTTCAACAACTCACGGTTAACTCTTGCCCGAGATTCAACTTATTCATTATCTCTTTTTCAATGCTAAAAATGGAAGAAATAAGAAACAAGTTGAATCTTAATTAAGCGTTAACTGAATTATGAAACTGGGCCTTAAAACTAGTAAAAGATGAAGAATTTGTTGAATCGAGATTAAAATTAAACTACATTATAGAAATGCGCCTATGTCATCTGTGACTACGCTTACACAGACACCCTTAGGGCCTCTTTTAGGACCAACATCGAATAACGCTAATCGATGTTAAGATTAACTCAATCATCACAACGTGAGAATTAAATTGCCAACGTGAGAAACACAGCAGAGGAAGAAAGAGGAGACATTATGGTACCTCAAACTGCTGTTGGCACTTCTGCGAGTTATTGTCAATTGATTTAACTAGAAGTTGGTAAAAGAAGCCCTTAGGCAAGTTTAATAACATTCGTAATTAGAAACTAATCACAACAGTCATTTCATTCTTCAGAGTAATAACTGTGACTGGTCAGTTTCATAACTACGGATGTTATTAAACCTGATTAAGAATGTTCGTAGTCTTTTGCTAAAAAGACTACGAACAGCATTCAAAATGTTAAGGATTTCGCAGTTTAATTTTCTATATTTATATTGCACTATAGCACATCTTGACATCTTTATGTCAATTTGTGCACTACATATCATACCATACTATTGAGTATGTTCGAATTCACTATTAGAAATTAGTTTGAATTGACGACTTGAACTGGGATGGATGTGCTTTGACTTCGGCTCAAATGTTTTACATCATTTTTATAAATTTTTTAAGTATTTGTGATGAAACCGACCGAGAGTTTCCCACACTTATCTTGCCTTCGCAATTTGTTTCTGATTTCGCATTTCTGTTTGTTTGCGATTACCTTTTGGAAGATTGAAAAAGGAAAGATCTTTCTATTACTAAATTTACCTTCATCGGAGAAGACATGAGCCAATGAAAGAGAAGAAGCTATTAAAAGTTTAACGAGAAAAGTAACGATTTAATAACGTATCGAGAAGCTGTCATATCGAAAAGCAAGCTTTATTAATTAAATAATACATTTTATACGAAATAACTAAATTGTAATTTAGAAATACTAGAAATACTTTTGCATGGCAGTGATTTATAAGAGATTTACAGGCAGTGTTAATTCGGCATTGAGTGAATTATAAAGACAAAAATATATACCTTGAATAATGATTTTAAAAAATAATTTTTCCGCAGTACTCTTTCCGCTATATATATGTAGAAGTTAGTTCTTACAACTGATTAAGGACCTTTCTCGTTGCCACGATTGTGCAAGTAATTGCTGCTTGGATAATTACAGAATTCGCAATATCCGGGTGGTCCTTGCGCTCCTGGTGATCCTCTCGCGCCAGGAATACCTTAACATGTAGAATTGAAATAACGTCTTGCATTTAAAGTGATTACAAATATTACAATGCCGAAATATGTATAATATTGCAGAGATTTTTTAGTTATATTCTATAAATTATTTTGAAAAAAGTATCTCGTTATTTATAATTCTTTTAAGTAAGTGAAAATCGATCGAAAATATTCAATATAAATAATCGAAGATACACATTCGATGAATATCTAATAACATTTTTGCTTGAATTGGAAATTGTAAGATTCGCTCAAAAATGTTAAATTTAGAAAATCAAGACCATTGATCGAATATAGCCTTCTTTGCTTATTTGTTAATCTTTTTTGTTAACTTTTTTACCTGGTCTACCTGGTTCACCTCTGTCTCCCTGTCTTCCGGGTAAACCGACGCCGTCATTGCCAGAAGGCCCTGTCATAAAATGCAGTATACGATTACTGTATTATTGTCTCAAAGTCTATATAATTTTATCACTAACTATATTAATTTCAATTAATAATTAATATTAATTTAATTTACTAATTATAAGCAAATAATTTTTTATTCATGTAATGTAATTTAACCTGGTAAACCTGTTAGACCAGGCGGTCCTTCTAAGCCGATTCCCTCAGAACCTTTATCCCCCTTTTCTCCACGTTCGCCAGGTAGCCCCTGTGGACCGATAGGACCCTGCGAACCAGGTAAACCGACGAATCCACGATCTCCCGGCAAACCTGGCGGACCTGGATCGCCTAAATGAAAATAAAATTAATTAATAAAAAAAATATCGCAATCGTGCAAACAGCGAAAAATATATTCATAAAAAATATATTCATAAATGCACCATGCATTTCCAATTTTCATTTCCATTTGTTTTTTTGATAAGATTTCCATTACTTGAAGAAGAACAAATATAAAAATAAAAAAAACTGAAAATATATAATCAAATATAGAGAATGAACTTTTTTTATTAATGATGGTACATAAAGCATGTGCTTGAATTAGAAAAAGATATATTCGCTTTAATACATTAAAAAAGCGTTATGTTCAATGATGAGAAGCTAACGCAGTTACTCAACTAATCTAATTTTCGCATGCGCACGACAAAAGTGTCCATTAGTCCAAACAGGTCATTTCCCAGACATTTCAGAGAATTGCTACATTCCGAGCGATAGATACCTGGAATGCCCCGCTTTCCGGCTCGACCGGGACGGCCGTGTCGAGCCGGTCCCGGTAATCCGGGTAGCCCTCGTAGACCCTCTGTTAGTTCTTTCAGTCTCTCTGTGACACATGCCAATATATCATTATTGTTATGGGCGTAACCGCGATGAATCCAGGACATTGATATCCTGAACCGTTAAATGCCACGTATATCATGATGAATCATTCGTCATTCTTTATGCTATAACTCTAAGGACGCGAGAGGTGATGCCGATGATACTTGAAGCGTTTAAATGGCGATGTTACTACACTCTGTTGTTGCTTGCCAAATATCTTCTCTTGAGTTAGGGATTCCATTCTATATGTCCAAGATTCTTCTATAAATTAATAAGAAGAAAACATAGTAGCAGATGATTTCGAATGCGATGAATTTGTTGTACCGAGCAACAAGAAGAAAAGCGCAATGGATTGATGATTTTGACTCGGAGGATGTACCTGGGCGACCTTGAGGTCCAGGAGATCCAGGACGGCCCGGACGGCCTCGACCGGGCGGGCCAGGTAGGCCTTGTATTAACGCTGCCATTTCGGTCATCTTTTCTGTATGTATATAGGTAATAATAAGAAAAAAGACTATATCATAATTCGGAACATATTCCTGATGATATTGCGCGTTGTCCATTCATGCGCGGCTTCTTATTAAAATACAGCTGTTGTCCAAAATTTTAATCAAAGTTAATCAAGTTTAAGTGACTTAACTAATTTAATTACTTCACAACAAAAAGGGAGGGAGTCGATAAATAGAGGATCACTTAAATCTCAACGAGCTTTTATGTTTAGAAATAATCTGCAATAAAAATCACCTCTCAGGACAGTAGCGCAAATATCGCGAATTTCTGCCTCGTTTATACTACGTCCCGGCAGACCTTGAAGTCCAGGTAATCCCGTTTGACCTCTATTCCCGGGGGGACCTTGCAATCCAGGTGCTCCGTCCTTACCAGATATTCCAGGTAGACCTATCTGACCTTCTGATCCTCGTTCTCCAGGAGTTCCCCTTTCACCTGGCTTAATTGTTTATTTGGATCGTTTACTTTACGACTTATTTATTCATATAATTTTAATTTATATAATTTAATTTACATAATTTATATATAATTTGATCAAATTTTGATTTTTCTTTTTATCAAACAAGATGCTTACTATGCCTGGAGGACCTGGTGGACCTCTAGGTCCCTCGAGACCAGGACTACCAATATTATCAAAACTGCTGTTCGCAGCTGGAAGACCAGGAGGACCTGGAGGTCCTGATGGTCCTATTGGTCCCGAAGGGCCAGGTAGGCCGGATTTTCCTTCTAAGCCTGGTACACCTGGTGCGCCTGGTAAACCCATTGAGCCCTAAATATAAATTAATCGATATGATATTTATTATTCTGAAATTATATGGGTTAATTACATGTTCATTAATTCGAAACATAAAATTGACAAACTGTTTAATGTTGTAATATCCATTTCATTTATTCTCTTACCGAATTCCCTGGTAACCCACGAGGTCCGGCAAGACCTTGTTCACCTTTTTGTCCTTTGTTACCCTTTTGACCTGGTTTCCCATTGAATCCTGATGGCCCTGGTTTTCCTGCGAGCCCATCTAAACCTCGAGGTCCTGGAGACCCCGGTTCTCCATGTGGCCCTGGAAGTCCCTTATTACGTGCAACAATGAATATTACGAAAAGTATTATTTTAACTAATAATAATATAAATATATAATATAAATATAAATCTGAAGTAATAAAATACCTGTGGTCCTGGTAATCCTGGATATCCATCTTTTCCTGGATTTCCAAATGGTCCTGAAGGACCCATTGGTCCAATTTCTCCTTTTTCACCTGGGAGACCATCATCACCAGGAGGCCCAATAGGTCCCTCGGGACCAGGTAATCCTGATATGACGTTATTATCCGTCAATCCTGATGTGCCTTAAAAGATAAATAAACATTTCAGGTTCATTATAAACGTAAAAAGAATTATCATTAGTATATTTGTTTAATTTTTAGTTAATAAATTTCGAACCTTCTCGACCACGTTCCCCGATATTGCCCTTTGGACCTATTTGACCAGGCGGTCCTGGCAATCCTGGCAGTCCTGGTGGGCCTGATGGTCCTGGCGGTCCTATTATACCACGAGGATTTTGTCCTAGAATACTAGACGTGTTCGTATATATAGTGTTGCCTTTTGGTCCAGGAGGTCCCGGAAGACCAGGAGGTCCCGGAAGACCAGGAAGACCTGATGCACCGTCCCGACCGCGGGATCCATCTAATCCCGGATGTCCTCTGTCTCCAGGTTCACCTAAAATTGTTAAATTTGATAATGGTCTAATACATTTTTATATGGTATTTCTCTAGATAGCACAAAGTGTCAAAAATAAAAAAATGTTTTAAATATGTATTTCAAAAATTTTAGGTACATTTTACAACATACAATGCATTTTAATTTTAAAAAATATCATATTTTTCAGTTACTTCTATCTCCACTTTTTATTTCAAAACATTTTATAATTTTTATAGGGACAAAAAGTTTAACTTTTTTAATTAAAACTTTCAAATTTTTTGTTGATCCTAAAGTTATCTGTATTATCTATTAAACTATATAATTTTTGTATAACAATTACTTTTTTCTTCTTTTATTGATTTGAAAATCCTTTTCCAGGATTATAATATGATTATATACGCATTAATACGTATCTGTGAGGTAGAGTTTATATAAGCTGAGAACGACAAAAAAGTTTCGAAATTGATCTTCTTTATTATTTCTTAATCCAATATGGCGCTCCATCCAGTTGTCACATCCAGTCACGTCGTGATAACTAGTGATATATTTGCTTTATATAAAAGTTATGCGATGTTTATTTACGAAATAGTAGTCCACAGGTTAGTAATTTGAACAAAGAAATAACGTGGAGTTCTTAAAATTGGATTACGTCTAATTAAAAGTTGTTATACAAAAATTTACGTGTATATAATAATACGTGTGAAATGAATGTAATAGTATGTAATGATTTGTCAATGATACATAAATTTGTGTGTAAGTTTACAATATGAATCGTCTTTAAGATCTCTATATTTTAACATATTCGAGAGGAGACACTATTAATATTATAAATATTAATATAAATATAAATATTGTCATTCGTTATTATGCGTAATCGTAATCTCTCGGAATAAAGTATAAAATTTGCTTCCATTATCATCTTTTATTATGGACAAATGCATGAAGATTCGAATACATGGGTAATATGTATAGAGAGATATATATATATATATACATTTATAATTATTCCTTAAAAATATTACTTCATAAATTAACTTATATTATCATGTATGTCCTAATTTACACCGAGCACTTGATACACGTACTAATTAATAACTTTCTATTAAATTATAATATCTTAATTTTGACAATACATTTAAAGAATGGCGAGAAGAATGGTGTATTAAGCTGGAGTACAATACATCTAAATAATTAATTAAATAGTCATGTATATATGTATACATTTACTCGCATCGCCGAACTCAACTAATTTAATAGAAAAAGTACTCTTTAAAGCATTCAAGTTTTATTGAGAACATTTTTTTATCTCTTATAGTTTCGACGATATTTGCTTTAATTGAAAGAAACAAACTGATTTTTTTCTAAGAGTTATTCATCTCTTAAAAGTGCGTACAAACACATATAAAAAAATATGTGTTCCTTGTTTTCATATACGAAACAATATAAAAGTTCATCAAAATCGAAGAGATCAAGTCACATCCAGGCCTACTTCATATAGATGTGCAAGTTGTGCACCGCAAAAGCGCAAACAAGAGAGGCGCCAAAAGAGATGCCATTTTCAAAATTAATTCGCCAATATTAACATCAATTATCTTGACGAAAATAAAAATCGGAAAATCGAACGTAAGTCAAATGTAAAAGTGACAGAGATAAACAAAAATTCTAGAAAATGTAAAGACACAGCAGAATGTAAAAGAAGTGTTTTAAGAGAGAAATACCTCTTTTATGTTTTGTTCCTATTTATGCCTTCGCTTATGTTTCTGTCACTTTCCCCTTACATTTGATTTATGCTTTGCTCCAATTTTTGCTAAAACTTACTTTTGTCAGACTTACTTTTGTTTAATTTGATACTTTATTTTATTTTATTTTTTTCGTGTTATCTGAATCATTTTCTCAGATGCTCATAAGAACATTCTTTGAAAAAAAGATCTAACAAAGGCTGCCAAAATGACTTTCGCACAAGAGCGAGTCTGAATACATTCGTTCCTTTCCTTGGTAATTGTGTTCTTTGAAATTAACTTTGTAATTTCATTCTTCTTCTGAGTCAATTATCTAAATATTTAATAATAAATAATAAAATTTCTTTTCTCTATTGCGCAAGTAATTTTGAATTATTTATAAATAAGCGAATATTAGCACAGATTGCGATAAATTGATTTACAATGACTGCGAATGAACGCATCTGGGTCAACGATACGTAGAATATCATGCGTCGCGCGTCGTTTAAATCGTTTAATAGTCGTTATTTGAATCATGACTTTTTATAATGTGCAGTGTTAATAAAAAGACTATAAACACGAGATACAGCCGAGTCGAATATTTGAACTAACAAATTAATATTGAAGCAAATCGCTGCCTCATCTCGTTATGATAAATCTATGAAAAATGGATCGAACAAGATTAACATAAGTATTATTCACGTTTCTATATAAAAAAATATTCATGGTTAAAATCAAGAAATTATTCATTCTGGCATGAGTGAGATTTAGACGGTAAATTGATTTAGACGTTGCAGTGACAACAAGTACATTAATCGAGCACCCATTCTGTAATATTCTCTCACTCTATCGTCGACAGAATAACCCAATTATACATCTCGACGCGATTTCTGCCGAGATCGAATTACATTGTCAGTGTTCCATGAGTGGATTTAATCTATCTTAATTAAGTAGTTTATCTGATATTTCCTTTCTAAGAAACGTATTGTACCTTTTTCACCCGGCTGTCCTTGAATGCCATTGTCTCCTTGTTCACCTTTGGCTCCTTTTTCTCCCTTATATTCTGGAAATCTATGCAAAAAATCACTCGCATTCCCTAGCGGACCTGGAAACCCTCGAGAACCCTGATCTCCTTTCAGACCCGGAAATCCCATATCGCCCTATTAGAGGATTTTTTTCATAAATAAATTTTCACGTGTTATCATATTCAATTTAAAAGCATTAGTACTTACTCTTTCACCCTTTCGGCCTGGTGATCCTGGTAAGCCCGGTGGTCCTGCGGGTCCTATCGATCCTTTAGAACCTTGAAATCCTGGAAAACCTCTAGCACCAATGTTACCTGGAGCTCCCTGATAAGATACATTTCTTATATTCCTTCCCTTGCATTCTTAGTGCCTACGTTTTGTAAAGGTAAAAAATGATTTTAGTTACGATAGAGGCTTATCCAGGAACTTTTTAATGTGCATTGACAATGAAAAGTATATCGTAATAGTCTTTATAATTGCATGGTAAAATAATTATGGTCAGGAGCATCATTTTCAGTTATTATTGCTATAATGTTATATGTATAGTAACAATAACTTTATAAGTATAGTTATAACATTTTATAGTATAATTTATATGTAAATATGATTTATATGTAAGATAATTCATACAATTAGTTAAATGAATATAATATTATGATCGTTATGATCATAATTCCATGTTCTAGATTACTATTTATATGGTTAAAACAATTATAAATTTATGATCGTCCCAAAAAATGACTATAAATTATAATTAAATTATGATTATTCTAACCACTTTATTTTAACCACTTTTTTCTCTCAACGTGGAGACCATTGGCGGATTTGTATTTTGAATTATCAAGTTTCTCTATATGCCAACAACCAAAAACACAAGAAAAAGGAAAATTTCAACAGTTTCCATATCTTTTCGTTCTTATTTTTCGTTCTTAATTTACGCGTGTGAAAATTTTTTTCGCTTACGACGCGACGGGCGGAAAATAAAAGCCGCAGTATAAACTTTTGCATAACGCGATGTCTATAATAGAGCAGTAAGTCTTAAGCCGTAAAAATCTAGGAATTTTCTAAATTAAAAAATATTTTTGGAATATCAAAATTGTAATTAAGTATTTCAGAAATATTAGAACAGGGTAATTCATTAAAATCCGGACAAATTTCAATTTAAATTTTCCGCTATATTGTGCCTCCGCTAAAGGTTGTTGTTGGCGTCCGAGAAAGCCTGATGCTTCTAGTAAACAATCATATTTCTCAAAATGATGTTGAAACTAAGTGCGGAATATAATCGAAGAGCCGCGATTATCAAAGATCTTCGCGCTGAGCGCTCAACAACGGAACTAATTCGGTTCTTTGGATATCATTCAATCGAGATCAATCATTTATAACATTTCTATGACGAATATATATAACATTTTGCTATAAACATTTTTAAGAAAGAAGTTATGATTTCCATGGCTCTCATCGTGGATTCACCTCTGAGTTAAGAATATTTTTATGCTGAATGGTTTTTTATAGTTATATAATGATTTTAGTAGTAATTTTATGATGAAT